TCACCTTAACTTAATACTCATAATAAGGGTTTATTGCATAACTTGGACTTGCAAGAGTCAATACGTTTGCTAGAAAATTTTCTTACACATTCAGATCGAAAGAGAGGACAATATAAATCGTAAAATTAGCACTCTGATGGAGAAAAATCATCCTAATTTTTATCCAACAATATTTAAATATTCCATTTCCTCATATAAGCCTCTTTTAAGTTTTGTGGGGGGGGACCAAAAAAAAGCTTCTGCGGATACAGAATTCTCAAACGCGAAGATTCAGTTCCAGATTTCATAAAGAACAAACATGAATCTCTCCCTATGGCGTATGTAGACGGTTCAAAATTAGAAAGAAAATTTAGTTGCGCAACAACGTCAAAAATGTCCGAACAGTACTTGAGTTAAATGCAAATCCATGCATGATAGAAAATCCAATCTACTCTTAAACATTTTTTCTCCAGTGGTCACACAGAACATAGTCACATACAACGTGGTAACAGATAACCTACAGGTTAATTAACGTTGCAGCCTTCTATTACATCAACGACGAAATCCACTCACTCTTGCCAAAAAAATAAACCTTTAATGTATCAGATGAAAGTTTTATTAAGGAAAGCATCGAAAGAGGATTAAGGTAAGTCTCATGAAGACAAAAAACGCGTTTTCTTCATCCGAAAGTCAGTTGCAATTTGAACCATTTTACAATTCCAAACTATATATTTCAGGAAACGGACATTTGTCCAGATATTTTTGTGAGAGGGATTTATCCTTTACAGATACCTGTGCATTGACGACACATCTAAGTACTATATATTTGCTTACCCCATCAAACAAAATAATCTCAAATGTATACATAACTAAGAAACTGCTTTCCAACATTTCCGTATCACCCCCCGCAATCTAATTAGAGTGCCATTACAAGACAACTTACCATATACAGAATAAACATGTGCCACATGTGGTAATTTGTAATATGATGTATCCATACATCTGAGAAATAGTTTACTACATGCAGCATAATCTTATCCCATATATTATGATAAGCCATGTTTAAGTAATGTGTGTCTATGTTACGGTGAAAGACCAAAATCTGGAGAATGTCGACTTTCACCGGTGAATGTGAATATTCACATAGTATCTTGGTGTATGTCCGAAATATTTTCCAAATACTCTTATTTCTGACTTACACCGGTCAATGTCGACATCCACCATGTACTAATGGTGAATGTTAAACATATATACAATATTTTAAAGAATAAGTCCATGATACGTACTCGTAACTTCACGATGTCTTCGAACTACATTTCATAGTCTAATAAGCATACAGTGTTATACTTATCTGTATGCCATAACTGTAAGCTTTTAAAAAAAATATTTTCCTTTTAACATAATCTAATCATCGTACCATTCAAGAAATTTGATCTTGCGAAAGCTATTCCAAGATAAGTGTTCTGCTTTCCATGCCTACTTATTATGAATGTATATCTATTATTGAATTGTATACTTTTATTTTATAGTACAGTGAAGGTAATGAATTACTATTTCATGAAACAGAAGGTCTAAATTTTTTCGAGTTCGTATATTATATTTTCTTCTCCGTAATTCAGTCGCAAATAAACGCACTTGAGACTTGAAATAAAAACTTAAGAACATGAGAACCTAAAACACACAATACATTCAAAATGAGAAAGGAAAATAATAGAAGTTAAAAACTTACTTAATTATACAGTACTTTCTAAATGAGAAAATAAAATAACAGTAATAAAATACTTACTAAATTATATGATTCAAATCTTATTTATTGCAACAACTTAAACTATTTTGGCACTTTATGACCTCTCTTTTCGACTTACACCAGAGCATATCTGTGATTGTCGACATACACCGGTGACGGTCCGAATATATACAAGAATTTAGTGCAATATTCGATCTTTCACCAACGTATTTGGTGAATGTTAACATTCTCCGGTGAAAGTCGACATTCTCCAATTTCGGTCTTTCACGGTAACATATATACAATATTTTAAAGAATAAGTCCATGATACGTACTCGTAACTTCACGATGTCTTCGAACTACATTTCATAGTCTAATAAGCATACAGTGTTATACTTATCTGTATGCCATAACTGTAAGCTTTTAAAAAAAATATTTTCCTTTTAACATAATCTAATCATCGTACCATTCAAGAAATTTGATCTTGCGAAAGCTATTCCAAGATAAGTGTTCTGCTTTCCATGCCTACTTATTATGAATGTATATCTATTATTGAATTGTATACTTTTATTTTATAGTACAGTGAAGGTAATGAATTACTATTTCATGAAACAGAAGGTCTAAATTTTTTCGAGTTCGTACTTCTAAAGACAAGGGGGGGAAAACTCAAATAAACGGCAATAGATTTGTTTATCATACTTTCCTCTCATATAGGGATTATTTCTGTGTGTCCAAAAATTGTAAACAATATCATTAAGTAAACTGTGTCAATGCAAAGAACATTTAAGGCACAAACTGCACGGGCATCGAAAATATTTATTCTCTTAAGGATAAATTGAATCTAACAATTAATTGATCTAAATCATAATGGAAAGTTCCAAGAATTAGGTTCATATTGTTTTCAGTCATTAGTAATTAATTATTAGCATGAATTTTATAATTGGTTTAATAAACTATATTGAGCTGTATAGTTATCTTTTTCCCCAAATACTTACATTCATTCACATGAATCATTTTGTGTAGGTAAAATGTAATTTTTGCAAAACCAATCTGTGCCATTACCAGTGAAGCGAGCCAGATTGTTTCAAAAACCAATCCGTGCCGGGACGATTCTCTTGATCAAAAGTAAAAACGAGTAAGATATTGTTTAAGAGACAACATTATTATATCCAGCAATTTAACATGACAATTCTTTTTTTCCTTAACTGCTCACATATTCCAGAGAAGCCTATTAAAGACGACGAGCCATGTTTCCAAACTAAGCTGGTCATTTGTGGAAAACGTCCTCTTAGAGAATGTAACCAATAATGATAATCCCTATTGTTACGAATTTTATATATATGTAAGTACTTTTAGCGACATTATTATGTAAATCGCAGTATGTCAAGAATTGCTTCGAGAACACGAAACTCCGCGGGAAAAGTAAGATTATACGGCTGGGTCCATTTAACATTGGGGCTTTGGAGAGATAGTGTCAAGTTGGTGATGGTTTTAGAGACTAATATTTTTCACCAAATTTGGCGAGACATCACGAAACATCGCCAAACTTGGCGTCATTTGCATCCGATCCCTGTATAACTGTAACTGTATCCGGCCCTACATGTAACTGTAACTGGATATGCTTTCCAGTAATTTCGAGAAATCAAAGGTACTGGAAATTGCTCGGAGGCCGAGGAAAAACTATATAAGCCCGCAGAGCTCATCAGTTCTCAGGTTTTATTTCACTCTTGAGTTCGGAGTATTGAGAGATCTCCGTGCCAACTTCTCTCTTTAGTTGCGCTTTGTATTACATTGTGTTTAGAATTCTTAGTATTTTAACATGATAACTATTGATTGTGCTCTGTCGCACTGAGAAGAACTGTACGAGTACTTTTGTAAAAAATTCCAGAACTATTAAGTGTTCCTTTTGGAAAAATAGGTTTTGTCTAGCTATCATCGTTTCTGTGTGCATTTAATCATTTACGAATTAGAATGAGTTTGGGCATGCTGAAAATGAGAAAACCCTCATTCCACTTCACCTAGTTTTTGTTCATTACATCTGTTTAAATTCATGGTTGCTACTCATCTATCTAAAGACGACATTTCATCGAATATATTGTTTAAAACATTTTCCTTCGTGCAAACGCTTTTATGTTCCTCATCGTCTTCCCCCCCCCTCAAACATTAAGCTATTTTCCGTGTATTCTGCATTCTAAAATGATTCTCACTGAATATCATGTAAATAATTTCCGTTTTACAAAGTACAAATTGTGATATCAATAGGAACTATAAACGTTATACGTTAAACGCTCATAATTTGATTATGAAACGTATTTCTAATGCAACAAATGTCATGATCTAATAAAGAGGCACTAACAGCATTCATGTCAATTTCTTAAAAAATCGATAACATTTACAAAACTTTCTTTTTTTTTCAGGACATATCTGTTGCGCGACTTTGAAATCTGAGACTGCCACTCACCATTCGGTACATCTGGTCACTTTGACATAAATATGATGCCTATTGAATCATTATTATATAAAAACGCAATGATATTCGGATTTATTTTTAGATATATTAAGTTATAGTCCTTTCTTACTCTTGAATGAACTATATCACACCTATAAAAGAAGGGCTAAGTCACGAAAATCACTAGTTCATCCTGGATTTCTCTGTTAATGTCTGAGGTGGATAGCTTGTAGAGACATTAGGTTATTTTTGGAAGCCGGAGAGATGAAAAATTAGCATTCGCCTTCGCCGGGAATCGAAACGCGGACCTCTGGAATACCGACCCATCGCGTAGAATCACTACACCACGAAGTCAAGGTAGGAAAGCGGGAGAAATACCTTATAAGCTTGCATGGGGTTTTCATGGCTTCCCGTGTAACTCTGTAACTCTTTTGTGCTATGTACTGTCCAATCCAAAATTATTTTAAGATCATAGTAAACTGCAAAGGAGAAAATTATTTTAATTAAGAAAGTAGATATAAATAACCTTCAAAATTAGCAACGAGTTATATCGCTGAGGCAATATTTATATTTCTAAAGGCATATAGATCCAACGAATTAATAAAAGAACATTCCTATTACGAATGTCAAGTTTTAACAAACCTAATTATACCTCTCTTATTTAACCACTTCACAATTACTCATATATATATATATATATATATTTTGCTTTCCTTCACCATGTTTATGTATAATTATGTATATATATAAAGGGTATATGCATTTAAACAATCGAATATATTACATTGAGCCTTTGAAAAGTTTGCGTCTGCAATCACTTATTATTATGTTATTTTGTTTACATACCTGTGCAATTAGCAACGTTTTTTTGGCTACATAGATAATACATTTTCATACCAAACCATTCCATATACACATTTATTCATTTATTCATTGGAGAGAGTACAGCCTTCCTACACAGCGAAACCGTCCTTAAAGTATTCTGAACCTATTCACCAAAAGAAAAGTCACGTAAAAAACATAAAAGAAGACAAAAACAAACATAAGCGCTATGTATTGAAACATGTATCAATTCGTAATTATTATTTATAAACAACATTATATATATATAAAAAAACTGAAATCATGTATAAGCTCAAAAACATTCTTCGAAACATCTATAACATATTTATCCTTAGTTAATTTAGTTAACAGAAATGTCTAAAAGTAGTGTCGGCAATCACTCATAAGTTAACAAAGCTTACATTTTTTCTAGGTCAGTAATCTCTATTGGTGAAGATTTAACGTATTTAATGTTAATTAATAAATTTTTATTATTTGGATGTGTATTATAACATCTAACTTTCGTTACCCCGACCAAAATGCAAATGAGTTGCTTCAAATGATTTCAAAGTTTTGAAATACTTTAGATAAACGTTTGGCAGCGGCGCTCGTAGTTTTACTTTCTGTCCTCCGGCTCTATCATTTGCTATATTACGGCATTAATCAGTTCGACCTAAAATGAAAAGGCTTCTTTAAAACTTTCACAACACTTTGTCATACATTTTCAGACGGAGCATTCTAATAGGATTTGAAGGACTTTGAGTTAATATTACACAGTAAGACCTTATAGAGATTGCTAGAAAAGTCCAATGAAATTCAGGTTAATATCAAAAACATGTAATATAACTCGTAATTTTCCTTTTCAATTATTACAATATTTCATCAAACAAATACAATTTCTGAATTGTCTTAACTACTTTTACAACCAATAAGCTGATATTTCTCAATGATGTGAATACCTTTCTTTTAGATCCCTGGACATAAGACTTCCCAGAAGTACAACCCGATGCAGCGTTTTTGGCCAAACACACCGACATGTATCTTGTCCCCACAAACGGAAGTATCATGTATTTGAGTTAATTTTTGAGATTTAAGTCATAAATCATTTGAAGTTTTAAGTCATAAATCAAAATGTTTGTGTCCCCCGTGTTTTTGAGGGATTGCAAAAAGAGAGATCATCTACGTACATACATAATTTATGAGGAGTCTGGAGACTTTATCATGTTTAATTAGCAATAAAGATCAATATGTTTAGTTGGATAAATAGAATTAATATATATTTAATTTAAATTAATTAAAGCATCTTGGTTCTATAAACACAAATCCCAAACCCGATCCCCCGCCGTTTCCTAAAGCCGTTTTCTAAATTCTATCATCAATGCAGATATCAAATTTCTCACTGTCAGGTAAAATAAATTATTAAAATATTAGAAAAAAATTATCATTTAATTAAGAAATTCTAGAACACTACTACGAAACTTATCGTAACAGAATTATGGCGCAACGGTTATGAAGTAGTCCCGCCAAACTGTCCTAGAACTTCTAGTTATTGCGAGCAACCAGACTCTCTAGTTTGAAACGGATTCACTGTAGTTCTATTGCCCTACAAAGCATTTGACAATTTGATAAAATATAACATTCAAAATCGCATTTAAAATACTCATTTGTAGAATTTGTAGCACTGTATTGTAGCATTTTTATGTAGATAATTGAAATACTCCTTAAAGTTTAATTTAATATATATTATAGACTTCACGTATCGCACACAGGAAATCGATTTAATCAACCCCTTTCTAAATCTCAAAGTGGGAGGCTTTACAGTTTTGCCACCTTTCGGAAAACACAAAAGCTGAGTTTTTTTTAAATTTTAAGATATTATTCATCGCACCAAATATTCCAAATATTCATAACTATAAAAAGAGGAGAAAGAGAATATTTAATTTTTTCCAAGCTATTTACGGAGGTGCCTTGATTTACGAACGCCTTGGATCACGAACGGAGCGATTCACGAACAGATTTTCCAAATGAAAAATGTCTTGGAGGACTAAAAATATCTTGAGATACAAACAAGCCAATACTACTCCAAAATGCAGTTAATATAATGGAGAAAACGTCGTCAGATGATTAGGGAAGGGAATTTCTAGTCATCTAATCCATAAAATGCGTGTAAAATTTGGTAAAATGCAAAATTTATGAAATATTATCACCTGACAAAGCAATAGCAAGCTGTACATAATTATTTGCAATGACAATGCAAATACAGTCTTGCTTTAGAAGCATTTTAAAACGGGGACAGAAACAAATCACAGTGGATAAAATTTTAATAGAACGAAGGCTCAGAGTTTCTCATGCAGGGGCGTGCGGTTTTAAGAGATAAGAAGACAAAAACCCAGGAAGACAGGTGACAGGTGAGACCAGGGTTCGACACGGGGCAGCTTTCACTGACTATTCGAGTATTACCCGGATCCCGCAACTGTCCAGAAAAACAATATTGTCAAATAGGGGCAAATGGTAGAATACACACGTATTGCGGATTCTTACAATACCAATGCTTATTATGCAATATATGACAATATAGAAATATTTACATAAAAAGTGGTGTTACTATACGTTGAATTACCACAGTACTAATACATCGTTAAACAAAGGGACACTGAATTAGGGATAGCTGGTCAATAAGGAGTTGGGCCTCCTCTGTCCTTTATAATGGCTGCCAAACGACGAGGCATAGATTCAATAAGTTTCTGGAAGCATTCTACGGAAATGGTTTGCTTAACATAGGATAGAGCTGTCTATAATTTAGGAAGAATCGCTAGTGTTGTGTTATGAGGTTTCAAACCTTTCTCCAAAACGTTCGAAAGATTCTCAGTATAATTTAAGTCAGGGCTTTTAAGAAGCCAATTTATGACAAAGAAGTCAGAAGAACGCTCATCCAACCAGGCAATAGTCAACCGGAACCTGTGAGAGGTGCAGTTATCTTTCTGGGCTACTCCATTTCCGTGTGAAAGACAGGACAACATAAATGGATGGAGATGATCGCCCAGCAACTCTACGTACCGAATCATATTGAGAGAGGCTGGTACAAGTATCAGGTTCAATGTTCCGCCTTACTTGCTTTGGGACCATGCAAAGATCTGACTCGGAACAGGGAGCTTACTAAAGCTATGTTCAATAAATGTGGGAAGTAGACAAGATACACAGGAAGGGTATACGAAACCCTTTATTTTTCACTCTTTACAATAATTTCCGAACTTCGGAATACAGAGACCAACCACTTGTGGTCTGAACGTAAATATAAAAATATTAACTAAACTCTAACTTAACTTTGGAATAATAAACAAGGGCCTACGTGGAAGATTGTCCGTATATTAACAGGAAGCCGTATGTAGTACAGAGAACTCTTAACACTACAATACGTTTAAAATTATTAAGAGGATTAAACCTCTGGCCTGGAAGGCAACCAGCAACCGAGTAAAACTGCTAAGGCAAGCGGCCTGCTTCGACAAACACCTTCCTCTCTCTCGCTTGGCAAAAAGCCACAACTTAAGTACTTGGCATTCGCCAGACAGATTTGCATAAATAAGTTAAAGCTTTTAATTCTGGCCGGAAGTAGAAAATAAGAAGTAATAGTAAAGATTTAAAATAAAATAAACGTTAGTAAAACTTAGGATCCTTACATACTTCCCGCCAGAGTTAATTAGTTTGAAACTGAGGTCTAAAACGACCTTGTTGAAAACTTTTAGCTCTAGAATCTAACGCGAGGCCAATCTTTTACAAACATTTCTCACTAGAAGCTAGAAATTTGAAAAAAAAAATTGTTTTTTACATTATCAGCTCCATGGACGATTACTTTTCATCTGTACTGCATCTAAACAGGAGCTTTTAGTTGAAATCTGGTTCCTTCCAGAGATCTGGAAGGAAAACTAGTTTAATGAAATGTTACACAATTAAATGGCAAGTAACATGAATATTTATATTTCTCTTAACATTCTTATTTCATTCATGACTTTATTTTAATTATCTCTTCCCCATGCTCTCTGACATGTGTTGTAAGAGAAAACATCAAACACGAATGTGTTTATGTAAACGTGTTCAACACTGCCGCCTACAATCAAAGCACTGACGTGTTAAAATTCAACATAACAAGACCTCGTAACACACCCTGTCTTCAACTCTAAACCCTGAGGTACTATTCTGAAAGTGGCTAACTCTGAAGTGTAGCGTCAGAGAGCCTAACTACATTCATTCAACCTTTAACACATATTCACAATACTTTTCTCTTTTTTTTTTCAGTCACACGAATAAGTTTAAACTTTTTTTGGCATTACTTTCACTTTTAACATATCACAGTATTTCTTAACATTTAAAATAACAGTTCACATTGTATATAAGAACATATTAACATGCCGTTAATTTTACGCATTTTAAAACATACATTAGTAGTACATTGTTAACTTCTATTCTTTTCCAAGCAAGTGCCAATTGTTCTACATTGAAATATTACATTTCAAAAGTCTTTCAGACTAAAACTTCTTTCTTGCCAGAATCTTTTAAATAAAATTTATACAATAACTTTTACAATATTCAAGTATTTACACATTCCTATTATACATCAACTTTAGTTTTACTCGCGAGTAAATGAAAAACATAATACCAAAATAGGTAACAACTCATTTCTCGCCTTTTTGGCGATAAGGTTAGACCTCACATGAGGTAAAACGTCTTGAAATCTGCCACTTGCAGTAAGAATGAAAGATTAACTTAAGTTTGCAAAGTAACATAAAATTTTACTTATCTTTGTGATATTCGGACATTCTTTTCTCTGCCCAGTCCTGGAAGGTAGCGAAGTTTCTTGTTTGATTTATCCTCCTTCTTGTGCGGGCTCGCCCTTCAGTGCCTTCCTCTAGGAGCTTTCTTTTCCCTCCAGTTCGGTCACCCTTGAATACCTTCTTTTTCGCCTCTGCCGGTGGTCTTGGCCGTTTGATGGCCGCTGGTCTTGGCGGAACCGGAACACTTGTCTCTCGTTCCTGCTTGGATCTCGTTCCTGCTTGGATCTCGTTGCTGGCCGTTCAAATTTTCCTTGTATCTTTTCCTCCGCCGCTGGTGGTCCTTCCGCAGTTCGGCGACATTTGCTGCGTAGAGTCCTGTCCGATGAGTAGATCTTCC